CTGGTATAACTTTTTACTCCTTTTTTCCCAGCAGCGATGCAAAGTGAAATGGCCACCATGATCATGGGAAAACCTGGCCATAAAGATAGTAGGGAGTCAGATGGAGATCCAAATACATGGTTAAAGCTACCAGTGCATGATGTAAAATGATGAACTTACCCCATGAGAAGACGTGATACATGTACATCTTGGTGTTGACGTTGTAAACTTTTACCACAAACAGGTAGAGGTAAATTCCTTCAACCAACATCCAACAGAATGCTGCCATAAGGAAATACTGCAGAAGAGCAGCTACTACTACACAGACAGCCTGTGGAAAGAAAGATTTTTGTCCAATTTTTATCATTCCTTTTTCCACAAGATATCAACGGTGCAAAAAGTTAATACATCCCATGGATAGAAGGCGAGGCCACTAACTTTGCTTTCTGTGGCATTTATTCCAGCGAGAAAGATGATCTGCCCAGCTCCAAGGGACATTGAAACACTCAATCGAATTTGAGAGAGAGGTTCACGAATGCCTCTAGTGAAATAAGAGTAAAAAAATAGAATGAATTAGAAAAGACAAAAACAACAATACACACTTTGCAGAAAGGAAAACAAAAACGAACTACAAACTTAAAATGCAAAATAAAGCACAATGTGTGAACTTAATCTTTACAGCAAAAGGAAATGATGGTGATGATGATTTATTTAACTCAGCTCGGCTTTACAAGATATGTAGGTCAAATTTACATAGCAACTAAACACAGTGCAGCAAAAGAATAAGGGAAAAAAATTAGCAATAGAATGGGTAGCGAGTTAGGATCATCCAAATAGCGAAGGCTAATCTAGTGGATGACCCCTATTATAAAATACAGTTAAGGGAAGAATTAATAAAATATTTTGTTGTCTATTTTTATATAATATATTACTTCATGCACTAAGGTAGATAATTAAAAAGAATAACAATTAAGTATAAAGTTCTTCAGGGTTTTACGACATATTCTAAGAGAATTTAAATTAGTTTCACTTGTAGGCAAGGAATTCCAAAGGCGAGGGCCAGTGAATTTTTAGGGACCGTAGGCCATATTGAGTAGTATTAACTGAGGCTACATAAAGATTGCTGTTACATGATTGCCTTGTTGAATAGGAATAAGCAGAAGATGTAGACTTGAAATAATTACTGAAACAAGGGGGTAACAGTCTATGTGACCACTTATAAACAAAAGAGAGAATCTCTGTAATTCAATAACATCATTGAGCTTTAGAAGATTAAGGGATTTGAATAAAGGCTCAGAATGGGATTTTGGTTCAGAGAAAGATATTATTCTGATTGCTTTTTTTTGGATAATAAATAATTGTGTTAGGAATGAGGGACAGGTTAAACCCCAGACATGGACGCCATAAGTGAGGTATGGATAGATAAGAGAGTAGTAAAGCATGACAAGAATATGTTTGTTGACAAAGTGTCTCACTTTTGACAAGACACCTACAGTTTTGGATCGTTTCAAACAAAGTTCGTTAATATGACTTTTCTATGTTAAGTTAGAATCGAATTTTATGCCTCGGTACTTAGTTGAGTCAACTTGTTTAATGAGTACATCATCAATTTTAATTCTTCATGACTGATTAGGTTTAAGTCTACTGGAATGAAAAATAATAATGTCAGTTTTAGAGATACTAAGGTCTAATCGATTATATTTCATCCATTCAGCAACAGAATTTAGTTCACGATTTAGGGTTGCTTTTAGGTGATTAAGGTTATTGCTAGAAAATAAATGTTAGTATCATCAGCATGTTAGTGTCATCATTTACATATAACAAGAATAAAAGGGGTCTTAAAATAGATCCTTGTGGGACACCACAAGTCACTGGTAAAGTAAGTGAGTTAGGACCATTAACATTTACAAATTGTCCTCTTTGGAATAAGTAAGATTTAAACCAATCAAGCACAACACCTCTTATTCCATAATGGTTAAGCTTAGTTAATAGAATTGTATGATCAACAGTATCAAATGCTATTTTCAGGTCTATAAATAGACCACAACCAATTTCATTGTTATCAATGGACTGCCGAATAGATTCAGTGATAGAAATAAGAGCATGGGTAGTCGAAAGATTTTCTCTGAAACCAAACTGAAGTGAATAAAGTATTTTTAATTCTTCCAAATAGCTGTAGAGGCGATGGTACATAGCTTTTTCAAATAATTTACTAAAGTTAGAAAGAACAGAAATTTGTCTATAATTGTCTATATCAAATCTTGAGCCCTTCTTAAAAACAGGAGTAATCCTCGCTAATTCTAATTTCTCAGAAAAATTAGCACTAACGAAGGAATCATTGGCTAACAATGCAAGAGGCTCGAATATATATTCTCTAATAGTTTTCAAAATAGTAACAGGTACATTGTATGGGCTAGAAGTCTTGCTAGCATCTATCTTACCAATAAAAGTCCAAATTTCATTTGAAGTGACAGGGGAAAAAAAATTGTTCCTGAGTAGTTACTCCTAAGGCAGAATAAGGGGCTATCACTTCCCCGAGGGATTCCCTTCTCCGTAGTCTTACCAATGTTAGCAAAAAAAAAAATGTTAAAGATGTTAGTAATGTCCGCATTAGGGTTACCAACAAGCTTATTGTTATTTAAAATGGAAGTTATATAACTGTTTTTACATTTTTCAACATTGATAATTGACCTGCTACCAGACCACAACTTCTGCATGTTAGACATATTTAAAGAAAAATATTGATTAAAATATTTGGATGTACTATCTTTCAGATCTTTAACAACCCTATTTCTAAATTTTTTTTTAGACACAATTAATATTAGGATCTAGTTGTTTACTTATAAGTAATTTGGAATAAAGTTAGTCTCTATAATTAATTTTAGCAAGAATTTCGCTATTATGTGATCCAAGGTTTGCACGATATTTTAACCTGCTTCTTGGAAAGCCTCTTATAAGGTTTATTCTTCTTGCAAACAGAGTCGATTTGGTCATACAAAAGATCAAACTTGCGATTAGTGTTTAAATTACTATTGTAAATAGATGAGAAATCAAGGTGAGATACTTCATCAACAAGCATTTCCTAACTGAAATGAGAGTAATCATGTTTGTAATAATCTAGGGAGGCACAATTAACTTTAAGGTCTTCAATGATCAGAAACAGTTGGAAATAATCAGAAATCTTAGTAACTAGATTTCCACTAAGAACATTAAAGGTGTACGTTTTTTTACTTGTTAGCAAAGCAAAACAAAAATCAATACGTAGCTTCAGAAAGTACAAAAAATGAAAATATTGCGAGGAAAAAGACTGAAACCAACAAAATACATAAAACACGAGATCATGAGCTGTTTAATCTCTTTTGATGGAGGATGAATGTAGCTGAAATTTTTAAATTATCCGACATGCATTTTCTTAGTTGTGTGGAGATTGTCGATCTAATTTTTCTACATCATATTTAAGGGGAGTTAAGGATCTATTTCATCAATATTTAGTTACATTACTTACGTGAAGCAAGAATAAAGTATTGATGTTAAAAGTATCCCAATTATAGAAATGCATAATCCTATGTAAGTGATGATTTTCAAAATCGTTTCGTCCTCCTCTGTGAGCTGTGTCAAGAAAAAAACAAAATAGAAAATTTAGATTTATTAATTGAGCCAATGAAATTATTGAATAGGGAAAAATTTACTCGAATACCTTTGTGCTACCGTCGTAGTCCATTAAGACAGCAAAATGAGTCAAATGATTGCAGCTACAAACTATTTCTTCGGAGTTACTTTTTGATGTAACTACTTGGCATCCTTCCTCTGAAAAGCCGTCTGACCTGGAAAAAAATAGTCAACAAAGGGCAAAGAATTCAATATTGTTTGGGGGAGAGGCAAGTTTTCACCCGCTCAAACCACTTGACTGCAAAAATTTATTAATAATTCTCCATGATTTGATTAAAAAAAGAATAATTACCATTGCAAGGTCAATAACGTATTGCATTTTTTTTTCACCTTTCGCTGAGGCCACTCCAATACATACAGTGCTTCTCTGCTGTCAACACCTGATAATATGATTTATCATGTAAGTATAAATCAATACAACGCATAGAAACTGATAATAATGTTACCTTTAGGTTTTCGAACTTTAAGATGACATTTTCTCGCAATTTGTCTGGTTTGGGGTCCATGGCTACTGCTATTATCTTGGAGTTGATAAACCTATAAACAAAATTTTATTGTAAAATGAACCAGAACTAATGAAGCCGGAAACATCGTCTACTTCTGTTAGATTCAAGCAAATTTTTCATGAAGCTGAAATGACCAAATACTTCCAACCCTTCCTGGGCTTTTGGAAAGTTTTTAAGTTCAGGTTGGTTGAACTTAGATCTTACGCCGTTCCGTGTTATGTGTTTCTCAGGTAAACGACATAGAAGAACACGAAAATAACATCACCTTGTGTTGTCTGCTTTACTTCTGATAGATTGATACATCACAAGTAAGTCATGTAGATCCTCGTTCACAATCGCTACCACAAATGATCCTTTAAAACCCCCAAAGAAACAACAACGAAAAATCAGTCAACCAAAACAAATACACAAAATTCAAATTTTCATCAGGTTCTGAGGTATGTGACATAAGGAAGGCGGATGATCAAAGAAAATAGACAGTGTAAATTAGCATAGTGCATTTGTTTTATGAGTTTTATCGCTACGGCCACTTCAGTTGGCGGAACCAAGGTAATTTAAAACTTGCAATTGTTAACATGCTAGTTCGTACAAACCCTTTTCCTCAGAATTTGAAGAGGCAATATCGATTCTCGTTTGCCATCGTTCTTCCTCGAAAAGGAAGTCACTCGCATTCTGGCAGTAGACTTTTTGAATTCCCAAAACTGTCGAGCAAAAAAAATTATTTAATGACAATTGCATACGTTTCGTTTCTTGTTGGATGCACATGCATTGTATGTAATGTACAGGCCTTCTAATGACTCAACCTTTCTAAGGATACAACCTTTTTCAAAAATTTATTTTTTCCAAAATTTTTTTAGATTGATTAACAAGTGAACAGCACTACATAGACTAAAATTGTAAAAGCGCGTTTCCTTCACCGGTGCGTTTTCTCTGACAGTATTGGAAGGTTAGAATTGTTGCTGTTATGCGCATCCTAAGCAAAATACCAATTTTGAGCCAGTGCTGCGCATAAAAGAAATCATTTTGTTAGAAATCTAGACACATTTTGATAACTGGAGTTCGTTAAGTGCTGCTAAGCAATCTATTATTTCACAAAATTCTCATAAAAAGACCAATTGGAGAGTTTTAACTTTATTAAGGATTGAAATCCTTAATAAAGATAAGGCATGAAAAGATTAGAACAAAAACGATTACAACGATGAGGTCCAACAATAACGTCTATTACTTAAGCCTAATCTAGGCAATCAGACTATTCAGTCGCCTGTCAACCAGTCAGTAAGTAACAGAAATGGATTTTAAGAAATCCGAGAACAAGGCTGTAGCCTCACCCATTTTGGTATAAATGATCCTCATTAGCTTCATGTCATTCAGGTGTTGCTTTCCGTAATCAAGGGCAAATTTCTCAACGGCTGCTGCTACTTTAAGCGTGGATACTATTGCTCCTTTCACTTCTTCTACGTTGGGCTTGCCTGCAATAGTTCTTATGACGTTCTGGATTTTGATAGTGAAGTCTTCCAACATCTTTACTGCCTCCTGAAATTACATAAAATGCACCAATACTATGTTTTTTGCCACGCTCAAATACACAACTCGTGTCAAGCTGCTTAAAGCTGTGGGTTGTGTCAGAGAATCACATATTTATTCATTACCTTTTCAAATCGCGTATCATGCGTGAATGCCTTTAAATTAAAATATATAGATACCTGCAGAGATTGTCTTCTCATGATATTAATTCTGCCAAGTGCAGAAACATACTCAGCTGCCTACAATTATAAAAAAGTGTTTGTTAAAATTATGACGCACAAAATACCATAAAAGGTAACCTGCAGAGAAAAAGTAAATGACTGCATATTGTACATACCAGCTGCTTAACTGCCGTTAACGATGATGAAGATGTGGATGTTGATGATGGTGAGAGTGATGGCGATGACGATAACGAAGGCGTTGGAGATGGCGACGGCGATGGCGATGGCGTTGGCGATGGCGATGGCGATGGCGAAGGCGATGGCGATGGCGATGGCGAGGGCGAGAGCGAGAGCGAGAGCGAGAGCGAGAGCAAGGGCAAGGGGGAGGGCGAGGGCGAGGGCGAGAGCAAGGAAGAGGGCGACGGCGGTAGCGACAGCGATATCAACGGCGAGGGAGAGGGCGAGGGCGAGGGCGAGGGCGATGGCGGGGGTGCATGCGATAGGGAGAGCGAGAGCGATGGCGATGGCGATGGCGATGGCGATGATGTTGTTATTGATGACAGCGAAGGTGACAGCAGCTGTGATGGTGATGGTGAAGGTGAAGGGGAGGGCAAGCGCGGGGGCGAGGGTGAGGGCCAGGGCGAGGGTGATGTTGCAAGTGGTATTCCATGAGTTGAAGGTGAAGATGCTTCTGTAGATTAAGATTAGGATAGTCTAGACTAAGGGTATAGTATATAGATGACACCATCTATAATTTGATGTCCGTAACTCATTATCTTTCAAACTGCTTTCGTTGACTTACTTTCATGTGGTTTACTCATGGTTTAAACTCACCATACGATATCAATCAAGTCATTTTATTTAGCGATTGTTAGAGGATATAATGAATTGATAAAGGAGGCTCCCAGAAGGAGAATCCTTGTGCAAGCATTCAGAAATTTCAATTTTGGAAATGATTTTCCGAGTCGTCCTCATAAAAGGGCTATTATTGCGTGGTTTAAAGTTCTTAGTTCAACTCAGGCAGCATGGCGATTTTAGCAAGCAAAAATGAACGCAAAATTGAAAGCAAAACACGTCTAGCCTCTATTACGTACAACCCTTTGAATAAGCGATACGTCCCTCTTGCCTTGTGGCAAACATGTAGGACGTTTTGTCGTAGCCGCTTATTCAAACGGTTATAACGCACCGCCTTTTGCTTTGCACATTAAAAGACCACTCGCGAATAATAAGAAAAGAAGAGTTGTTTGCCATGATACTTTGTCGCGTACGAGTTAGATTGATATAATGAACTAGAAAACTGCCTTTTTCGATCTTAATAGCTTCGAAAAAAATTATGATAACAATATTAAAAACAAGAAAACTAATTAGGCGCAAAGTCAAATCAAAATATCCCAGCCAATGCGCTAATTTCCCTTAATTTCTTTATTTTCTAGGCTATAGATTTATTCTTTTATCGATCAACTTAAAATTAGAGTAAATAATTGTCCCGACTCATGTTTCATTTCCCGAACACGTAAAGAGTAGAAAACAAAATGGTCTTCCTAATTGCATTTTTCTCAAACAGCGGTCATTAGCGCTATCTGCCAAAACCTGAAGACCATATGAGACACATTGCAAATTTACAACGAACTTGTAAATAAATTTTTTAACCATACCTATAGTTTGCATAACGATGAAAGATAAAAGCCTGTAACCTATGGCTTTTATGTACTGACGATTAGGCATTAGCCCACTCACCAGTTTTTCTTTCTTTGCAGATTTGTGTGCACCGTATCTTGCTGCAATTGCGACTACATTGATCTCCCACACACTGGCAAGTGTCTTTGCCGCCTCTGAGGTTAAAATTTGTAACGTTGCATGTTTGAAGATAAGAACCTTCTTTGGACATCATTTCGGTGCATTGATCTACCAATGGTCTGTATGTCATAGAACATCTTTTCCTGCAACTTACTGGTACGGGATCATCATTTGACCCGTTCAAACATTCTGTTATTGTACAGTTAAGATTGCAAATGTAATTAGTAGAATTGTAATTCTGTACCCAACTCATTTTGCCAAATTTCAGTGCGCAAGGTATTCCAACGTAGGCCGTGTAGTTTTCCTGGGAAGAGTTTTTCACTGAAACAGTTGCCAAAGAGAAAAAAACAAATCCATAGTCTGTTCATGGTGTTTAATTAATTTAACGAAGAGCAATACTAAACCTCACGAAAGTAACGGCGTAGCGAAAAAAGGAAAGGAAATTAAGCCATCTTGCGTATCGCACGCTTTCGTTATGCAACCCGGCCCAGGCTTCAACCTTCTTCTTTTGTCCTTTTTGCTTTCTCTGCTTTTTTTTCCTGCCTTTATTTCAACGAGCCTCACTTAAATCCCTTAGATCCGCTTCGTTTACCCGTTTACTGACTCAGCGTTTGGTACAGGCTGAAATTACAAATGATATGAAATTAGACTGGAGGTGGTCTAACTGATCAGAAGTAGGATTAGTTGTAACAGCGACTCAACTAAACATCATGTTAAAAAAATAATTCCCGTGGGTTCGCTGCCGTGAAAAAAAAAGGACATCGATGACTCCTCAACACTCACCAAACTAGTTTCTTTTAAGTTATACAATATTGAAGAAAAAAGGACAGCGATGCCACCTCAACACTCATCAAACTAGTTTCTTTTAAGGTGGATCGTACCGGTTCTCATCTTTTTGATGGTTTGTAACTTTGAAAGAATACAACAGAAAGACTGACCAAGACCAGTTGAACACTTTTACGGGTTGAATTATACAATCATTGGTCATCCAAATATAGGTGTCTTTCGTCACTAGCAGTTTCCATGGCAACGCTTTCATAGGCTTATTCAGACGCATTTTTTAGCTCGTGACTTAAATAATTCAAAAACTAACCCGGTGACCCCATGATTTTTTCAGTGATTGTTTTTGGCACTTGAAAAGGAAAATGCACAAAGATTTTTAAAAGATTATACGGAGCGGAGTTTCAGAGAATATAGAAAAAAGGCAATTTTCAGACATCGCAAATTTCCTTTCATATAATTTTTTTTTCTGATGATTCCTTTCGATGTTATTATCATATTGGAACAATAAAAAGAAGGGGTAACCGGACTTGTTTTCATGCAATAGCTTACGTTAGTTTAGCAATATCCACGCGCGTTCTCGCGCATTTAACAATCTGGATTCTATAAGATCGACATTTGCTCATGATCGGTTATAGCTACCGCTGACAATTGTTCGTGCTCGCGCGCGTGCCTACGATCTGATGTTTACAGACGTTTACTACTAACACAGGCGGCCAAAGCTCTCTTTGAGAACCACACAAGGAGCGCTATTTGCATATTTATAAGGATTTGTATGGGATTTTCTTCAAGATAGAAAACCAGGATTAAACAGAACCGCTTCAATCAAGTGAAATCGGTAAAATAACGACACCAGGAGCAAACAACACACGTATGCAACAAGGTAAGCTATTTTTATTTAATATTTTCACTTTTAACTATCTCTGTGGATATCTTGTAGAAAATCCCATACAAATCCTTATAAATATGCAAATTGTGTTCCTTGTGTGCTTCTCAAAGAGAGCTTGGGCCGCCTGTGCTACTAAGAAAATCATTAAACAGCTGTCCAAGACAGCCTCCCGGGCTCATCTTAAAAATCCTACACACGACTTCTGGCTATATCATATTATTTTCCTTTAAGTTTCAAAGTCATCTTCCACTTCAGGTAGATTATCCTTCACTTGAGTTCTTCTTTTTTCGCCGTCGCAAGATTGCATATCAATTGAATCTTTCTTTTAAATGTGAAGTGAAGCTAGCAACCTTTACCTCTCCGAAAATCGTCTTCTTTATCTTAGTTTCTATCTCCTGCATTCATAGTGGCCGCTCGACACATCAAATACAAGCTCTTAGGTAAACTTCTCACATAAGTAGAAAAAAATCCTCGCGCCGCCATCTTTGTTTGAAATTTTCGTCTTTTAATCTCGCGCTTCTTTCGCACGTTTCTCTCGCGCGTGACGCAAGAGTGATCTATTCCCCGCGCGAGGAAACTGGTACGAGCAACCGTAAGTCATATCACGATGAAGAAAGGTGCCTCGATGCTAAAGAACTTTTATGCTTACTCTTTTCTGTTTTTTTTTTCTGTGACTTAAAGAGTTTTAACCCTTTTAAGTCACATAAAAAAGCAAAAAAGGCGTATATGAATCACTTCTGAAAAAAGTGATTGATATATGCTAGGGGCTGAGAAGGCGTACGGAACTCACAGCTAACGTTGTAGCTGGTTCATAACTATCTTCTACGTGGCGTGATGACACTCTCAACGTGCCCTACAGTATACCGTACAGCTGTGATGTTTTGTTACCGTTGGGAAGTTCACAAATATATGGCAAACTCGCGAAATCAAAGTTCCTTCTGAGCATTCCATATGGAAAACGGTCCAGATGCTTCTTTTTGAGTATCGCGGCCTTAGTTCCCTTCCTCATTATTAGCTGATTATCATCCAATTTACAAATATTCAGTGGTTTTCCACTCACCCAGGTCCAACTCCTGTTTTCTCTTACCAGACCGATGTGCCACCATTCTCCTCGATCATGTCGAATCGTGTCATTGATAAAATTCCACTCTTCTTCGGTTTCAATGGAAACTAGGTCACCTCCCTGCCCCTGGCAAATTCTTCTGCTTTCGTTCCATGTTTCGTATGACGCATTAAAATTGTAGCAGGAATTTTTAAAACAAGTACTATTGGTATCTATAGAAACAAAAGAAAAGAGAATGAACTTTGAATTTTTTTGTAAATAATTCTCAAATTCTGCACCGGAAAGCGAACTCTTGCGAATGTGAAGTTAGTCAGCTCCACGTTATTTCACACGATGCCAATCTCTAGGTTGGATATAAATACATTTAAAGTAAAATCGTGTCTCTTATCTCTGTTATAGACAGTTACCTTGATAAAAATAAGCTCGGTATCCAGTCTATAAATTTCAGACCTTTTTTCATTGCAGCACTTTTAAATTGTAGCGGTTAAGGGGTTTGAGCTAGGGGTTTGTTTCCTTGGTTGCTCGGGCATAGCAATTTATGTCAAGGCCTGGGTGTTCAATATATTGTTGCCATCAAATGCATTTCCAACCTACTCAATCTTCATTCAACGACTATTTTATGAATAAGAGTCAGTTCAGTTTTTGTTAAGATATACTTTTATCGAAACATAATTATATGCCAAAGAAACAGCTTAGTTAGGAGTTTAGCACCCTTACCTCCTCCCTCAGATTGCATCATCGAAGTCTGGATAGCTAAGTAGAGATGTAAGCAAACAAATTTAGTATCTCAACTCTCCACGGATATAATAAACTCCATGTTATCGTTCACCAGCTTGTGTATTATTTGTCACTAAAAGACAAAGCCAAAGTTATCTGCAGCTTTTCTATATTTACAAGGAGAATGTTGTAAGTAGCATAAATTTACAGACTATTCTACTAAACGGAAGTGAGAAATTTAGCCAAAACATTTTCATTTAATTTTTCCTACACATTGACACATTTGAATTGATCATAATCCACTCCATACGGTAGGAGGGTACATTTCAATGATATCCAAGTTTTAATACTTTAAATTTGGCGTCAAAAAAATATATCCCTATAGTTTATATTTTAGAACCTCTGGCTGGGGTCTAGATATTGTTTTGAATTGTTGTAATTATATAATTTCTATCACATTCTCAATGCTTGTTACATCTTCATCCGTTTTTTAAACTATTATATTTCTTTAATATGCTAATCTCTGTTCATCACCAGATCTTGAAAATGACCTCGAAGAGGTCGAAACGTCGTTCCCTTTCATCGCTCGTTTTTATTGAAAAAGTTATATCAAATAAACTTCTTATGAAATATGAAGGTTGACTTTAATTAATCAGCTTCTGCTAATCATCAACCATCGGACTACTTGGCTGGAAACGGTCAATTAGCATGCGGAAAGAGAGAAAAAAATCCACTAAATTATCAATTTGAACTGGAGTCAGAAATGTAGGGTATTACATGGCAGCGCGGGGATACGAATTTTATCTTCGAGTTCTGTATCTCTCCCGAGTGAGCGAAGCGAATGAAAACTAGGAGAGAAATGAAACGATTTTGTGCTGTGATCCTAGATAAAGCCACTTAAAGCTGTTAGGCAGACTGCTACGACGCAAATAATATTCTACAGCATGTTTTTCATTATTTTGTATCGCATGGAAAGCAAAAAATAATAATAAAAAAGACCCTAGAAAACTAGTCTTAAAAGAACTGTTTATTGAAGGTAATCTGGAGGACTCAGTAGGGTATGTATCTGTAGGGCTTGGATCGTTCTGTCATCAGGATGTCAAATAAACATCACCTGATATTATTTCTTTTACGGTTGGATTTGCCTTCTTAGTATCTCGGCTAGTTCTACAATCGATTTAATTTTTTCGGAAATTGATGTAGCCAAGTTCTTGGGTGTTATTGCTACTTAAGAAAAAAACAGAAATACTAACCTGGCAAACAGGAAATACTTACCTTGCGCGCTTAGTATAAACAGGGTTCTGAACATTGTGCAGTATATAATTCCATTCATCGTCCAATTAACGAAACCCAAGTTACGTATGAGTTGCTGCGATCAGCTGTCGGTTCACTAAAATTTGTTGTATTTGGGAGTACGCAAGAACGGCAGTTTCTTCAAGTATTTCAAACTCTTTTGTAGGAGGAAGACTTAAATGCAAATTATAATACTCGATTGATAGTTCGTGACGTGAGTCAAAGTTTTCTGTCTCTCCTTTCAATTGACGGACCAATAAGGAAAAAAGTTACTTGAAGCAGGTGTGGAGCATCTTTGTTCTTTAGAAGAACCGGAAATTCGCGACAAGAGTATACATTTGTAAAGTTCAAATTTTACAAAGATGCTATCAAAAAAACAATTATTTATCAAGAATGGAGTGATGAGCTCCGTTTAACGATTGTTAAAACCAATTTATGTCAGTATTATCCACGGGCAGCTAATATGAGTATCCCACCTGTTCGTTAGCGTGAATGGAAATTGTTAGTAAATAGAGGAAAGATAGTAAGTTCTGAGGTCGGTAAAGAAATGGAGAAAGATATTTTCCATCTTGTCTCGAGCGTGTGACACTAAGAATTCTGAGTCCCCATGTGAAATCCATTCCTTACAGGGACAGAATTTTCTCTTTGTCCTACCCTCGTGGAAATTATTACTTTGCTGTCATTTCGCAGATGACATGTTCCTTTTCTTTTTAGCTGATTATTCTTGTACATGTCTCGTATGTCATTAAATTTTTGCTCATGCAGTAACTAACATACGTAATTAAAATTCTACCATGACAGGCTCTGAGTCAGATCGTGAGCTAAATTCGAGTTTAATAGGGTCGACTCTCAACTGGGCAGAAAATCAACGGCGACTAACGGCCAATAGTTTAGCTCCCAGCTTACAAAGCGCCTTCCCCCTTCCCCCACACGGCGTTAGCGCCATGAAGACCATCACTTTTAAGTCCAGCTGTTTGAACTATTTTCTACCTTTTCAGAAGAAACGGGTTCGAAGCCGTCAGATTTACAATTCCCCGACTCGTTTTCTTATCTTAGGGAACTCCATTTCAATGCTATGTCCCCTTAGTAATTGTATTTGGAAAACGGGTTGACTTATCCTGCATTTTAGTCACTATGCATTGTTTCCTTAAAATATCTAGCGTGAGCAATTTCTTTCCAAATTGCTATTTTCTATGAATTTCGCGCCCTTTTTTCGTCAGCATTTCTCTAATTTAAATCCAAACTCTTCGATTAATCTATGACTGTAAGATGGTATTACGTAACAGGGGGATGCAAAGAAGACAAAATGAGCCAAATGAATTTAACTGATATACAAAATATCCAATCTGTTGGCTTTTATTTACCTTGAATTTATTTTTGTTTTTGATCTACTAATTTGGCCATTAATTCAGCATTCATCCTTCTATTCATTTATAAGCAACAAATTTCAATGTTAGATGACAATGCTACAATTACATTAACAAGACACTACTTTAAAAAAGTAGTTTATCAACTCAATAAGAAATAGGTCAAATGTGAAATATGAAACCATCATGCAATAAGTTCTAAAATTCAGCGTGCATGGATTGAAAGAGGCAATTAAATCGCAATAAGGTATTTCGTTTTTTGTTTAAAATTGTGCCAGATTTTCTAAAGTATTCTCATTTCTTGTTTTGTGTTATTGAATTATTCCAGGTGTCTTTACGTAATTATATGCTAGTCTTTCGCTTATTCACTTTTGGCTTACTTGAAAAAGTTTTTGTTATTTCTACTTTTGTCGTGTAATCAGTTTCTCGTTCCTTGTATTATTATTTTAATTGAAGCCGGCGTAATATATCCACTTTTTCCTAACGCTGGGTCGAATGTTTAGTTTTTGCATCTTTCTAACCTAATACCTGCTAAATCAACAAATATAGAAGCTTCGATTGTGTTATGTTCAGTTTCGAAGCTCGCAGGATGCGGCTAGGGTACAAAGGTCTTTTCTACTTCTTGAGCATGGAGTTTCCACAAACGCTTTTAAAATGCTTGACTTCCATTGCTTGGCAAAGAATGTCGAACGTTTGGAGCCGCGGCCATCTGACGTATCAAAGAGAAGCAACAATATAAGTGTTTCCCTTTTGATATCTTTTCACTACAGCTTGAAAAGATAGCACCTAAGCTATCGTGTTATTTATCCTAAATGTGGTTTAGCCATTAAGCAGTTGTTACGATTTTTTTAATCATTTGGCATTGTATGTAAACTTAAAAACATTGTGAGCCTAACTTCGAGAAAAAAATCCCCAAATTTCTTTATCCGGTTTCATTTTCCTGAGTGTCACAGGAAGTTAAAAAATCAAAGTAAATAGTTCACAAATACTACCGGAGTTGATGGCTTTGATCTTCGTAGAATTTAGCTTTCTAAAGTCTATATAACAATCATGAATATGAAAATTTTCCGCAGGTAAGACTTTATCAGTCGTTACAAGGGAACATCTCTCTGTCCACAAGGACTCATCCTGCAAATCTTTGACTATGCAGGATTTTTAAGCAACAAACTACTAGTTGAGCTTTGTATCTTGCCCCCTCACTTGCCTTGAAAAATCTATGAGGTTTCATTTTGATGATTAAGCCTAGAAATCGGAGACTGAATCGAAAGTTAGTAAGGCACACTTCCCTCAAGGGGCGGACTATTCAAATTTATGGGGGGCGGAGGAAGGGACGAACGAATGATGGAGAGGGAAAGGACAAGGGATATAAAAGAGCAAGGTGGTCTTCCATCCAGAACTTCGCATTTGTTTACGGACATTGCTCATTCCTAATTTCACTGTATTTGCCATTTTAGAAATTGTTCTTTCATTGCTAGCTCTGTTTTTGCAGAAATCTGCTATGCAAAATTGAGATTTATGCGAAATTCTAGAGTGGGTAGGCATTCTCCTATAGCACAAGCCATGGAAACACGGCAAAAAGGATATTCTGCTTCATTTTCAGCAATTGAACTGGAATTTTTCCTTCTATTAGTGTTGTGTTGTGAACCACTCGTGCAAATCAAAACACTCTTGATGAATTGGACCCAGTAAATAAATGTCAGCCTTAATTATTTGCCACTTCTAAAAGTATTATAATAACAATAATGAGAGGGGCGAACGAGTACTTTCTCAACTCGACAATTATGTAAAACGACAAATATAAAGTCATCATGCAGTAAGCGCAAACACTTAGCGCGCAAAAGTCATTAGGCAAATACAGTTAAAAGTGCTTGTTAGAGCGCTATTTAAAGAAAGATGAGTTGCGATTTCCTAATAAAAAAATCTCGTCTTGTCTAAGGAAGCTAGAGTTTATACTTCTTCGAGAGCCACTCGAGAACATATTGAACCACTAGATCTTTTCTAAGTTTAAGGACTAAGGATAGTTTCTAGGTTAATTTATTACAAAATACGCCATATCCACCTTTTTCGCGGACTATCATGCAGGTGAAAATGCCTTTCTTTCTAATACACGATCGGCTACAGAAATAATTGAAAATCATTAACAAGAAGTTGAAATTTACAACTGGTTGAGTGCCAGAACACTGAAGAGCAGAACGACTTAACAGATGTAACTGAAATACGATCGTACTTAAAAAGGGACTTTTGTTTCCGGACGGTTGGGGCCAGCTTTACTGGTTCAGTGCAATTTCCATTCACATTCACCGCAAGCTTGCAGCTCAACTGCCCATACATCGCCGACCTCATTTGGTTTGATCTTTGAGCTCTTCTTTATGGAGTTTTGTTTTGTACAAGATGGAAAAACCATGTTCATCCTTCTTTTGAATCGCTCTCTGATCTGCAGATAGACGAGCAATAACAAATATACTTCTTAGCATTCGCTTATTTGTTCGCACAATGAAACTTTCTAATCTTCAGTTTGATCATACTCAGTTTAATGTTTTTTCTTACCTGAGAATTTCGCATGCAGTGTAGGACGAAAATCAAGAGACCCTGTAGCAAAGACATAGATAATCTTTTTTTCTTTTATTTTGCAGTACCTTATCCTGGTAGGAAGTGATAGAGGGTTGCTCGAGGTTTGTTCACGCACAAGCAATGAGGTAACTTAATTATCTAAATATCTATTTAGATTGGCCGGAATATGATTAGAAATAAACATGTAATAAGGAAGGAAAAACGCAGATCTTATAAATGAAAGAAGAAAGCTCTCCCTTCTAGAACTGTTATCAGCTTTTTGTTTTAAAATTTCTAAAGAATTATCATCTAGCCATTGTAAAAGTGTCCCTCGTTTGCTAAAAATGTAAATGAAATAATCGAGAATGATTGATATCTGAGAGTTACCACTGAACACCCACCTGAGTAGAATTGAGTATTGTGAAGATGTATACGAAAACCTTGTCTACAGGCGAAAGCAGACCAAACAGCCAAGTGACACCCAGTAGGGGAGTCATTACCAGGCAGGCCTTGATACCAAGTCTAAAAAAAAGATAATGATAAGCAATTATTCCACTTGCGCTTGTCGGATATGAGATAAATAGATAGCGAACGAGGCTCTAATTATCTCTATTTTTTTTTTGTTGTAAGAACGAAAAACACTTGCCATATTTCTAGAGCATGGTACACTTACCATATTTGTAGAGCATGGTATAGTGGCTCATAACCCATGATGGCTACGCCAACGAAAACTCATGACTTGCATAATCCAGTGATCCAGCTTTTAATTAAAGGGGTTATAGGAGTTTATAAATCGGTTGTTGTTCCTTTCAAAATGATTTGTTATCATCAGATATCTAAATGCTTCACTGATTAAGGAATGAGGACGCTAGGCGAAAGTAGCCTTACAAGATCTTATATTATTCTGTTTACATTTAGTAAAGTGAATCTTACCGTATTTGCTGTACATGGTTGTCCCCCCCTGTTGGCTGCACCATTGTGGTCATCTCCTTTATGACTCGCACGAGTATCAAGATGTTCAGCTAAAATAAAAGTGCATTAAAAATATACGAGTATCTAGATATGGTAGTCGAATAGCCAATCACGTTATTCGCTTGATAACAAGCGTAGTGCAAGGAGAAAACAAACTGAATCCTGTACCAGAAACACAACTCCCGACCTGCGAACCAAAACTAACCAATTCTTTATTGAATTAGTTAATATAGTGTTTTGCTATCTATCTAATCTCTCCAACTCTTCCTGCTCCCTCCTCTCTTTTAGTGCTGTTTCATGTGCTACTCTGGCGCGGAAAGAGTTTGTTCCATGTCAAAGTAAAACCAAAACAAAAAAATTAAATCAAACTGAGAAAGAAGGGGGAGAAGGTTCTTCTCTTTAATTAGGCAGCAAACGTTTGCAGATTTGATTAATCCATCTTAGGCTTTGAGCAGATTGTCTTATCAGGACTTCTCCGCAATAACGAGCCCTTATTAAGTTCAAGTGAGATTAGCTTCCCTGCATTCTGTAGCAAAACCCAAAGTGTCTTGTGGGTAAGTACATGTAGGATAGGGAAGATGGCGAATACCGTGAAAGGATCATCACTTTCAGAAATATGGAATTCATCTTTTAATGTTCGTGAAAGAGAAAGAAGTATCTGGTAATAACGAGTATGAGTATACCAGCTACAATCGCGTAGGCTAATCATAAACTCACTACTTCAATGAACGTCACAAAGGCGACGAATATCCAGATAAGGTTCTTACTTGAGGATAGCCAACAGCTAAACACGGAGAAATGAAAGACAAGAAAGAAAAACAAGTTGCAGCGAATGAAACGATACCCATATCAGTAGTATGTTGCGCCTGACTGGCAACTTCGTAGAGGCCTGGGTCCGAGTGTCTCGGTCGAGGTTACTTTATTCATACCGTGTAGGTGTACGTGGGGTTATTAGGGTTAGGGTTAAAATTAGCGTTGGTGTACGAGGGGGTTATTAGGGTTAGGGTTAAAATTCATGTAGCTATACGAGGGGTTTTTAAGGTTTTAGGGTTGTAGGAGGGGTTAGCGTTAAATTTCGCGTAGGTTCGTGAGTAGGGTTTTCAAAATTTAACGGTAAAAAGATATCGAAAGAATCCAAGATGACGGCGAGATTAATTTGCAGGATCTGTTTTATGCATATGGTTTATTTGTTCACTCTGCACGATATTTGAGTTATAAATAGGTAACATAAGCTAGAAAAGGTGTCATCATGTCTTTGTATAATTGATGGAAAGTAGTTTGTTCTCCCACGTTGGAATCATAGGTTTCAATTTCATCAATGTGTTTAGTCACTTGTCTGCGTATTTCACGGAGATCTTGCGTGATAGCTTTTTCTTTTACAATGGCAAATAATTCGTCTAGGACGGCTTCGGCCCACTGGGGATTCTGTTCAATATCTTCGTCCAAACAGTTGTTTTTCAGATGACATGGTGTATGAAGTGTTTGTAGAATGTAAGATGAAGCTATACATAAATGTGTTTGAAAGTAAATGTCACTCGAGTATTGATTGACAAGCTGTCATCACGTCTCTGTACAATTGATGGAAAGTGGATTGTTCTCCCACGTTGGAATCATAGGTTTCGGGAGACTTCCGCGCGGTCTGGGTCTGAGTGACTCGACCAAGTGGGTTCTAATTAAATATTCATACGGCGTAGGTGCGCGAGGGGGATTTTAAGGTTAATTCATGCGCCGTAGGTGAACGAGGGGATTAGGGTTGTTGGGGRTTAGGGTTGTTGGGGAGGTTAGGATTAGATTTCACGTTGGTTCGTGTGTAGGGTTTTTTCGCATCTTATTTTAAAAAATAACGGTTTCCTCAAAACAATGGGATCAAAAGAATCCAAGATGGCGGAGGGGTTAACTCTAACACACTGTTTTCGCATATGTAATGTTTATTGTCACACAACACAGGGAAAAGAGAATGGTCCCTATATTACGCGTTTGGGTATCGTGGGTTAGACATACTAATCTAACCGACTAAGGCTGTAACCAGAAGTTGTATTTATAAGAGTCCCAAAAGGTTTTGACACGCATGTGGTACAGGTTATTTAGGACGTATTACTTTTACGTTTAAAAAATGTAAGAGATCTACGATCGTCGATCGTAAGACAAAGGGATTGAAAAGCTGTCAAAGTGTTCGGGTAGACCTTGTCGCTATGAACTCTTGGTCAGTATTATAATGTCTGACTTTTACGATTTGTACTGTGACTGCGGTCAATGCGAATGGTGTGTACTAAAAGAAGAAGAAATAGAGAGAAGCGTTTTAGCAGGACAATTTAAAAATAATAAGTGCACTCTAGAAACCAAAGTGGATAGACGAAATATGGGTGTTTATTATGAATGATACACGGTATCACGCAACTACCCATACCGGTTCTAGGACAATAGAGTATCCACACTTGAAAATTAGAAGGAAATGTATGAGAGATGTAGGAAGGAAACACAGATTAAAAGCGTTGAATAAATCCTGGTCAAGGACTTTGGACAGACAGGGAGTCAATGAAATAGCTCTGGTGTCGCCCTAATCCATACGTGGATGGACTTTTGGGATGGATGGATTTATGGATGAATGGATTTTGTTCCCATTGTTTTCAGAAAACCGTTATTTTTTAAAATAAGATGCGAAAAAACCCTACACACGAACCAACGTGAAATCTAACCCTAACCTCCCAAACAACCCTAGCCCCAACAACCCTAATCCCCAACAACCCTAATCCCCTCGTTCACCTACGCCGCATGAATACACCCTAAAACCCCCCTCACGCACCTACGCCGTATGAATATTTAATTAGAACCCACTCGGTCGAATCACTCAGACCCAGACCGCGCGGAAGTTGCCCTAAACCTATGATTCCAACGTCGGATAACAATCTACTTTCCATCAATTGTACGGAGACATGATGATAGCTTGTCAATCAATACTCGAGTGACATTTACGTTCAAACATATTTATGTATAGCTTCATCTTACATTCTACAAACACTTCATACACCATGTCATCTGAAAAAACAACTGTTTGGACGAAGATATTGGACAGAATCCCCAGTGGACCGGAGCCGTCCTAGAAGAATTATTTGCCATTGTAAAAGAAAAAGCTATCACGCAAGATCTTTGTGAAATACGCAGACAAGTGACTAAATACATTGATGAAATTGAAACCTATGATTCCAACGTGGGAGAACAAACTACTTTCCATCAATTATACAAAGACATGATGACAGCTTTTCTAGCTTATGTTACCTAATTACAACTCAAATATCGTGCAGATTGAACAAATAAACCATATGCAAAAAACAGATGTTGCAAATTAATCTCGCCGCAATCTTGGATTCTTTCGTTATCTTTGTACCGTTAAATTTTGAAAACCCTACTCACGAACCTAAGCGAAATTTAACGCTAACCCCTCCTACAACCCTAAAACCTTAAAAACCCCTCGTACAGCTATATGAATTTTAACCCTAACCCTAATAACCCCCTCGTACACCAACGCTAATTTTAACCCTTTACCCTAATAACCCCTCGTACACCTACACAACGAAGTTGCCAGTCAGGCGCAACATACTACTCATATCAGGATATATAAAAGCCAAAGGAAAAAAGGGAAAGAAAAAAATGTCATGTATTAAAAGAAGAGAGAGAAGGAGAAGGGGAAGAATAATGCAGAAGAATAATAATTACTATTTATCACTGGTATAACTTTGTATTCCTTCTTTCCCAGCAGCGATGCAAAGTGAAATGGCCACCATGATCATGGGAAAACCTGCCCATAAAGATAGTAGGAAGTCAGATGGAGATCTAAATGCATGGTTATAGCAACCAGCGCATGATGTAAAATAATTCGAACTTACCCCATGAGATGACGTGATACATGCACATCTTGGTGTTGATGTTGTGAACTTTCACCACAAACATGTAGAGGTAAATTCCTTCGACCAACATCCAACAGAATGCAGCCATAAGGAAATACTGCATAAGAGCAGCCACTACTACACAGACAGCCTGTGGAAAGAAAGATTTTTGTCCAGTTTTTATCCTGATTCTTTGGACAAGATATCAACGGTGCAAACAGTTAACTAATTCAATGGATAGAAAGAGAGGCCACTAACTTTGCTTTCTGTGGCATCTATTCCGGCGAGAAAGGTGATCTGCCCAGCTCCGAGGGACATTGAAACACTCAATCGAATTTGAGAAAGAGGTTGACGAAAGTCTCTAGAGAGAGAAAAGTAAAGAAAGAGTGAATTAGAAAAGACAAAAACAACAATAAGAAATACACACTGAATGCAAAAAGAACATCAACGCACTACCAACTTAAATGGCAAGATAAAGCAAAATTTCTCAACTAAATCTTGACAGGAAAGGAAAGCAAAACAAAAATCAATAGGTAGCTTCAGAAAGTACAAAAAAGGAAAATATTGCGAAGAAAAAGACTAACACGGACAAAATCCATAAATCTTGAGATCATGAACTGTTTAACCCCTTTTGATGGAGCATGAAATATAGTTGAATTTTGTAAATTATCCGACAGGCATTTTTCTAATTGCGTGGAGATTGTCGATCTAATTTCACTGCATTATATTTAAGGGAAGTTAAGGATCTATTTCATTACCATTTAGGTACAATACTTACGTGAGGCAAGAATAAAGTATTAATGTTAAAAGTATCCCAATGATGGAAATGCATAACCCTATGTAAGTGATGATTTCCTGAATCGTTTCGTCCTCCTCGGTGAGCTGTGTCAGGAGAATTTTAAAAGAGTAAATTGAGTTTTATTTATTGAGCCAATGAAACTATATAGCAGGGAAAAATTTACTCGAATACCTTTGTACCACCGTCGTAGTCCATTAAAACAGCAAAATGAGTCAAATGATTGCAGCGGCAAATTGTTTCTTTAGAGTTGCTTTTTGTTGTAACTACCTGACATCCTTCCTCTGAAAAGCCGTCTGAACTGGAAAAATTAAGTAAACAAAGCGCACAGAATTCGATATTGTTTGGGGGAGAGGTAAGTGGTAACGTAACCCGTTCAAACCATCTTACTTAAAACATTTATGCTCATCTTATAACTACCCGCTTGAAAATAAGTGCTGGTCATGCTGCTTTGCCTGAGCTCTGTTTGCTGGGCCACGGGTCAATAAGCAAGCCAAGGTTGAACGTAAAGGACTATGGGTAGAAACCCAAAGCCAGTTTAATAAGTAACATAAGTTCAATCCAGTAACAACATTAAAAAATGAAATTGCTTGAATTTAGCCCAGGAAAGGTAAGGGCAAAACAAACGCCAAACACATGTATAACCGGGCCGGGCTGGGAGGGGAAAAAATTGAAACTCTCTSTAAGAAAGTTTTGGGACAACTGGACCCACAAGAGTGTTCTCGTGATCTGAGATGGCCAAGGCCGAGAGCGCATGCTCGGTTTGGGCCTAGTGACGGTTGCCATGTGAATGGTGGAGTGTCTATGCTTTCATAGCAACTTAAGAACTACAACAAATGAGGAAGTTATAAGAAACATAGAAATCCTATTTGCTAGCAAATATTTCATTTATTCATACTACTCCATAATTTGATTCAAGAAAGAATAGATACCATTGCAAGGTCAGTAACGCATTGCATTTCTTTTTTACCTTTCGCTGAAGCCACTCCAAAACATACAGTGTTTCTCTGCTGTCGAGAACTGAAAATATAATTTATCTTGTAAGTATAAATCAACAGAACGCATAGAAAGTGATGTTAATGTTACCTTTAAGTTTTCAAATTTTAATCTGACATTTTCTCTCAATTTGTCTGGCATTGGGTCCATAGCTACGGCCATTATCCTGGAGTTGATATGCCTGTAAACAAAATTAATTTTGAAAATAAACCAGAACTGAGAAAGTAACATCGCATACTTTTAGTAGATTATAGCGAAATTTTCATGAAGCTGTAATGACCATAGACTTCCAACCCTTGTTGGGTTTTGAAAAGTTTTAAGTTCAGGCTGGTTGAACTTAGAACCTACGTGTTTCCAAGTCCTGCATTTCGCAGGTAAACGACATAGAACAATAAGAAAATAACATCACCTTGTGTTGTCTGCATTACTTCTGATAGATTGATCCGTCAGAAGTATTTGATGTAGATCCTCGTACACAATTGCAACTACCAATGATCCTTTAAAAACCCAAAAGAAACAACAACAAAAAAGCAATCAACCGAAAAAAAAAAACATGCATAACTCAAATTTTCATAAGGATTATTAAAGAGAATAGACGGGGTAAACTAGCAAAGTGCATTTTTTTAAGTATTTTATCGATACAGTGACTTCGGTCGGCGAAACCAAAGGGCTTAAAAATTGTAATGGTTTATATACTAGCTCGTACGAACCATTTTCCTCAAAATTTGAAGAGGCAATATCGATCCTCACTTGCCATCGTTGTTCCTCGAAGAGGAAGTCACTCGTATTCTGGTTGTAGCCTCTTTGAATTCCCAAAACTGTCCGGCAAAAAAAAAAAAAAACCTTTGATAACAATTGCAAGCGTTGCGCGGTGGACATAAAATGGGTTATTGTCTTGTTGGATGCACATACTTTGTAAGCAATATACAGGCCTTATAAACACGATCTTTCAACGACTACAACCTTTTTCAATTTGTTTTTTTGTGTGAATTTTTTTTAAATTGATTAATAAGGGAAAGGTACTATACAGACTAGATTTGTAAAAACCCGTTTTCTTCTCCGGTGCGCTTTCTCAAAAAAATATTGAGGCCATTAAGGACTTTTTACTAGTAAGGTTTGTAAAGCTGGTCTCATACGCAGCGCGGATAAAATGCCATTTTTGACCCATTGCTGCGCATGAAAGAAGGCATGTTGTTGGATATTTAGACAAGTTTTCATACCTTGAGTTCGTTAGGTGCTGCTGAGCAATCTCTTATTTCACAAAAGTTTAATGAAAAGTCCATTTGAAGAGTTTTAACTTTAGTTAAGGATTCAAATCGCCCTAAATAGAGCCCCGTGAATTTCCATTTTCATCTGATTAAATCCTTTCAAACTGTGCCTTTAATTTTCTTCTATAAACACAGCTGATACACGAGTGTAATCAAAAGATTTAAGTAAAAACGGATGTATTGATGAGGTCCAATAATAATGTCAATAAGCTAAGCCTGATCCAGGCAATTAGGTTATTTAGTCGTCTAGATCTGTCAACCAGTCAGTAAGTAAAAGAAAAATTGATTCGAAGAAATCCAAGGCTGTAACCTCACCCATCTTGGGATAAATTATCCTTTCTGAGGGCTTCATTTCACTCAGGTGTTGCTTTCCATAATCAAGGGCAAATTTCTCAACTGCTGCTGCCACTTTAAAGATGGATTCTTTCGCTGCTTTGACCTCTTTTATGCCGCGGTTGCTTTCACTAGTTTTTGTGACGTTCTGGATTTTGATAGTGAAGTCTTCAAACATAGTTAATGCCTCCTGAAATTGCATAAAATGTTCCCTCACTTGGTACTTGACCAGCTCTTAGATACAACTCGTTTCAAACAAGAGGATAAAAGTGTAGCATGCAGGTCCATATGGTGCCAAGGATATTTTTTGGTTAAAGACCCGTTTAGGAAGACGGAATAAAGAAGCCTTATCATGCTTATTTCATACTGCTATAATGGCAGTTTAGGCGAAAGGATCACGTATATATCACCATTTGGAAAAATGCATCATATGCTAATGTGTTTAGAATAGAAAAATCAGATACCTGCATAGAACTCCTTCTAGGGATATCGATTCGGCCAAATTTAGAAACATACACATCTGCCTAAAATTAAAATAAAAAAAAAGTAATGCGTTTGGTAGTTTCATAAAGCGTGACAATCCTGAAAGCAACGTGCACAGACAGTAAACGACTATTTGGAACACATACCAGCTGCTGAAATGCCCTTGACGACGATGACGACGACGATGACGTTGATATTGATGAGGGAGAGGGCGAGGGCGATGGCAACGGCAACGTCAATGACAGTGGCGAGGGCGAGGGCGACGACGACGGCCATGGCGATGGCGATGGCGATGGCGATGGCGATGGCGATGGCGAGGGCCCTCATTATGATAAATTATTATGAGAAAATTATTGATCAAAACTACATCATACAAAAAATGTCACAAATTTACACTGCAGAAGTGGGAAAATACGGAAATAGCTTGTTCCAGAGGGTTAATAATAGGAGCGTAATAGCAAATGTCGTTAATTTATGGTAAAGTGAAAAATAACATGATTTGTTTCTGAGCTCCCTTTTTTTTGTTTCGCTCCACCTCCACTAACGCGCCGTTGCAGTCCCTTTGACTAAATGAACGCCTAGAAAAGGCTAATAATAAGCTATTAATGATATAAAAGAGACACGAAGTGGTCTGGATGACCAGCAAATAGACGAAGAGTACTAATGCTCAACCACACATTGCGTTAAACGATGATTCCCGTTTTTGGCGATATCTATAAAAAATATGACGATGTCATCCCAACAACCGCCAAATTTATTTCTCTAAACCTAGATAGCGTATACAAAAAAAAGCTGAGGAAAAGTTTCAAGATGCTAACCTACTTTTATATTTCATTCTGAGCCCGAATTAGTTCTAATTTTGTGATTTAAAGAATTGAAAAGTGATTAATGTATCTCTGGGACCTACAGTTGAGCAAAATGATTTGCCTACACTTTTGGGAAATAAAGGAGACTATTGCTTACACACACAGCTAGACACTTGCTCATAATTGTGTCATTCTTGGCGCGATGAGACTATCAATGCGCACCTTTTTTCATTACAGTGTACGATACAGCTGTATTGTAGCGATACCTTTCTCACAAATGTGTGGTTCTTCCGGAGAACTTGCATGTGGTTGTCCCTGGTGTTCATTTGTAACATGGCTGTTGCCCCCCTTCGTGCCTATCATAGCCTCATCTCTACCACTTGAACTCAGGTTGCAATTTAGCATTCTGCAAATAGTCAGTGGTCTTCCACTCACCCAAGTCCAGTTTCCACTTATTCTTACCAGACCAATATGCCAGAAGAAATTAGATTTACTGCTCTTTTGAATCTCACCATGGATAAAATCCCATTCATCATCGGTTTCAAATGAAGCAAGGTCACCGCCCTGCTCCAGGCAAATGCTTCTGCTGTCGTTCCATGTTTTACGTGAATTATCAATTTTGTAGCAAGAACTTTCAAAACAAATAGGGGTGACTATAAAAAAAAAAGAAAAAAAAAAAAAGAAAAAGGAATGAGCATTGGACATCATGTAAATATATTTTAAAATCTGCATCGGAAAACGAACTCTTCAAAGCATGAATTAATCAGTTTTATTTTATTTCACGCGATACCAATCTCTAGGTAACAAATAAAAACATCCAATGAAAGTAAGTTTCCTGATTAAAATGGGCTCAGTTTCCAGTCTTGAGTCATATTTAAATACGGTTTTCATCGCAGGAACTTTAAATAGTGGCTGTTGTTTGGTTTAGACTAGGAATTTGTCTTGTTAGCTGTTCGTGCCTTGCAATTTATGTCAATACTTTGCTATTTAATGATTGATGCAACTCAATACAATTCCAAATCAATAAATTCTCATTCAACGACTGGTGCATGTACCAGAATTATCCTATTTCATATAGGTTTACAAATTTTGATTGAGGATAAACATCAGCAATAATAATTTAGGATGACGTATCGATGACTCGGTCATCATTTTGAAATACTAATAGTTAGATTCCTATGAGTTCTTTATAAAATGTAAATTCGTGTGAAAGTCTCGTTGCATGTGATTAAAAAAAATTATGTGGATTTTAGAGATCGTTTATTAAGAACAAAGAGTTTTGCTTTGAGTCGGACTGAGTGTTCAGTTAAAGTTTCTTTTCTCAGATAAAGAGCATTTCTTAAGGTTGATCAATTGCTCATGTAGATCTTTGTTCCTCTTTTGGTGCTTGTGTTTAAGAGTGCGTTCGAAAAGGTGTCAACGAGTATAATCACCAGAATCCACATCACACAGATCACAGCTGAATTTAGTTGCCACAATAATTTACGTGGAATTTCACAGCCTCACCTTCTATACCGGCGGCTGATTGGACTGGATAGGTAACGTCTGGATAGCTGAAATAGGAATGTAAGAAAATGAATTCAGTTTATCTTTTTGACCGAAATATATATAATATAATTCATTTTGTCAGGGTCACAGCTTTGGCTAACAAGTTTCGGTTGTGAGGGGAAACAGTTCTTCAGAGTATTTCGTTGACGCGTGAAATGTACTAAATAAAGTGACTGAAGAAGCGTGTCACTTATGGTTATCTAACGGAATTTACAGAAATGTACTGCAATGAAGTAAGGAAAATTTAGAAAAAAATCGAGATATGCATAATTATAGCCAAAGTTAAGACGTGCTCTGATTGGTCAATTCAGTGTCCACAGCGAAATATCGCTGTTAAGTTTTATACCAAAATAAGACAAAACTAAATGCTATTGAAGGTTTACTCGAACTTCCCTGGGGAATATTTTGTGGATTAAAGAGGAGATTTCTCATGCAAGGTCGTAATAACTCGTCTGCGTAGCAGGTGGCTTCGTTGTGAATCGCCTGAGCAAGTTGCGAACTTCCTATAGACGCTTGAGTCGAAAATACACCATGAAAATCGAGAGTTATCTTTGGCCTACCTTAACTAAAAGGGGTGGTGTTTAACTCTTTCACTCTCAAAATATAATTTATAGTTCCCCTTACTTTCTAACAATTCTTATGATGCTAGTTATTTAATAATTTGGTATTGGATGCAGTAATAATCCCCTGCTTGATGTTTTTCTTTATTCTCATCGCTTGTCTTCCTGACATTGTAATGATATTGCGAGGAGAAAGTTTGTCCCTGTCATTGGTGGGAGCTAAATGGTTAGCAGATGGTAAGTGCGAACCCGATATCGATAAATTGGGATTTATGCCTTTTCAACTGGGTAATGAAAGGTAGGCCTAAATATACACGTTTACTGAACGGGATTGAAGTCTAGGCATTACATTTTGGGCATTTTGATTTAATCCTTTGTTTAGCCTTTTTAGCTGCGATTCCATAGCGGTTTCATTTAATTGTATACACATTTGCAAAATGAGTTTTCAGACTATTTTGAATTTGTAATTCATTCCAAACGACAGAAGGGGCCCCTTCATCGACAGCCCATTTCAATGAATTAAATTCGGTGTCAGACAAAAGATATTACCTTACCATATTTTATATTCATTGTCAGAGCCTATAGCTGTGGTCTTTTGTTATATGCTGAGTTTATATACTTAAATTGAAATTGGAGAATTTGTATGTAGTTTTTTCTCTTAAATTTGGATGAATGAACGTAACCGTTAAACAATCAGCTTCTGCCGCGACAATCAATTATCGGACTGAGTGGCTGAAATTAGTGATAGTCAGAGGGGTGAGTGAAACCTCTGTCACCTGTTTTTTCCAACCCCCGTTTAGGCTAATGTTAGACGTTGCATCTCTTTAAACTTATTCGAACGTAGTTTACCTTAGATGTTAAGTTCGGTTGCTTGGAGAAAAAAGAAAAGAAAAGAAAACAAAACAAAAAGATAAAACATCGACCGATTACATGAGCCATTTTGTGCATAAAATACGATAGCAACAGAATGAATTTTTGCTGTTATCCGAAATAAAGCTGCTTAAAGGTTTTTTGCAGACTGCCACAACGCCAAAAGATATTTATGAAGATTCTACCCCATAAACCTGGCATTCTTCCTAATCGTTTATTTCATTCATTTGTAGTGCATGGAAAGTGAAAACACGCTACGAAACTAATCCTAAAAATCTTAAAGATAATCTGGTAGACTAGATTGTGAATCTGAAGAGCTTGAAAACCTTTGTCCGCGGAATGTTTAATAGAAGGGATGTTTAAGGGAAAGGAAGTGTCGGAGGAAGTTATGAAGTTGATCTGAATTTTTTGAAAATGGATACAGCGAAGTCCTTGGGTGGTATTGCTATTGCAGAAAAACAGAAATACTTACCTAACACGCTTAATATAACCAGGGTTTTGTACATTTTGCTGTATGTAGTTAAATTCATCATCCAGTTAAAATTAGTTGGAAGTACGCGGGAACGGTAATTACTTCAAGAAGAATTTTAAAATATTTTGTAGGAGCTAGAGTTAAATGCAAATGATAATAATCGGTCGATAGTTCATGACGTGTGTCACTTTTTTTTCTTTTTTGATAGACGGACCAATGACTAAAAAAGTTACTTGCCGTAGGTGTGGGATAATGTTTTTCTTCATAAAAACCGGAAATTCGCGGCATAAAATTATTTTTGTGAAGTTCAAATTTTGCAAAGATGTATAAAAAAACAATGATTTATCAAGAAAGGAGTGATGAGCTCCGTTGAACGATAGCTGGCTCAAACCAATTAATGTCAGTATTATCCATCAGCAGCTAATATGACTATCCCACCTGTTCGTGTGCTTTAATGGAAATTATTGGTAAAGAGAAGAATTGTAAGTTTTCAGCTTGACAAAGAAATGGAGAAAGATATTTTTCGTCTTTTCTCGAGTGTAGGACAAGAAAAGAATTCTGAGTCCTCACATGGCATCGGTTCCTTCTGGAGACTCAGAATTTTTTCTTTGTTTTGCGTTCGTGGAAATTATTACTTTGCTTTCATTCGCGGATAACACGTAGCTTGTTTTAGCTGATGATTCTTATCTCGTATGTCATGAACTTTTCACTCATGTATCAAATAGCATACATAATTACAATTCTACCATAACAAGCTCTGAGTCAGATCGTGAGCTAAATTTGAGTGTAATAGGGTCGATCTTCCACTGGGAAGAAAACCAACGGCGATTAACGGCCAATAGTTTAGCTCCCAGCTTACAAAACGACTTCCCCCTTCCCCCACACTGCATTAGCGTCATAAAGACCATCACTTTTGAGTACAACTCTTTGAAATCTCTTCTACCTTTTTAGAAGAAATGGGTTCGAGGACGCAAAATTAATAATTTCCCCGACTCGTATTCTCATTTGATGGAACTCCATTTCAATGCTAATGCTCCCTTTGTGATGATATTTGGAAAACGGGCTCGAGTAATTATCCCGCCATTACATCGCTATGCGTTGTTCCTTTAAATTATCTAGTGTAAGCAATTTCTTTCCAAATCTCTATTTTCTATGAATTTCACGACATCTTTTGGTTAGCATTTCTCTAATTTAAATCCAAACTCTTTGATTAATTTATGATTGTAAGATGGTAAATGAGCCAAGTGAATGTGACTGATAAACAAGATATCCAATGTGCTGGTTTTTATTTTACCTGAAATTTATTTTTGTTTTTAATCTACTAATTTCTCCATTAATTCTGCATTCATCCATCTATTCATCATTCTATTCATTTATAAGCAAGAAATTCATATGTTAAATGAGGCTGCTACTATTACATTAGCAAGATACTACTTAAAAAAAGTAGTTTATCCACTCAATACGTAATAGGTCACATATGAAATATGAAACCATCGTGCAATAAGTTCACCGTGCATGAATTGAATGAGACAATTAAATTCATGTTGTGATTAAATACAATGCTAATTGAAGAGAAATGAGTAATAACTTCATTACATGAATTCCTGGCACATCTAAAGAAGATTGCAGTCTTCTTCGAAGGTCAGTTATTAGCAGAGCAGCTAAGCTATTGTAAACAGAACCATGAACGATATTTTCTAGATTAGTTAGCTACGATGATTTGAGCCTTTGTGTGGAAAATTCAGTCTGCTACTAAAGAAACTTTCGAGAAATATGTAATCATTTCGGAAATGTGTTTATAGTTTTGAAAAAAAGTAACACTTGGAACTAGTTGATGCTAAAACCATAACGAAGAGGGTAACCTTTCTTTATCTACAGAATGAAACTCATCTCCATTACAACCGATTTTTCGGTTTAAACCAAACGATCGTAATGAACAATCAATGAGTATTGCCTGATGGTCGAGTCAAGTTACCTAATTACAATGCAACTTCGGTTCAAAATTACTGCGAGACTGCAATTCAACCGCCCGTACATCGCCAACCTCACTTGAATTGACCTGTGGGCTCTTCCTTGTGGAGTTGTCCTCATTTGAAGACTTAAAAACGGCATTCATCTTTCTTTTGAGATGCTCTCTTATCTGCAGATAGACAAGCAACATCCAATATGTTTCTTGGCATTCAAATAGTTATTTATGCCTAAAAAAATGCGCTGTGATCTGCATTGTTTTTAATCTCGAGTTTTTGTTGTTGTTGTTGTTGTTGTTGTTGTTTTTCTTACCTGAGTATTTCGCAAACAGTGAAGAAAGAAAATCAAGAAACCCTGTGGCAGAAACATGATATCAAGATCAGGATTTTTACAATATTCTATCCAGGTTATAGGCGGCGGAGGGTACGTTGACTAAGGTATCTCCTTACGCATGGCGTAAAATAACTTTTATCAAATATCTAATTAGGCTGCCATTAATAACAAAAGAAAGATAATAGGGAAGAAAAACTACATTTTAAGTGAATAGTTAAAATGTAACCGTTTTTCTCAAATTCACTTTTAATTTATTATGGTAAAGGTGTCTCACTCTGGGAACAAGTGAGAAAATTAAACAATCTAGATTGGTTTTGAAAGTTTCAATCCGACACTCACCTGAGTAGAGTTGAGTATTGTGAAAATGTATGCAAAAGCTTTGTGTACAGGCGAAAGAAAACCAAATAGCCAAGTGACACCCAGTAAAGGAATCATCACAACGGATGCTTTGATACCAAGTCTGAGAGTAACAACAATTAAAAATACAAGTATAAGAGTTGATTAATAATTTTTTCGCAGTGTTATTCTTAGGTATCGTAATGCAAAACTGAATTGAGGAAGCCAGGTTAATAACGCCGTAGGTTAAGATCGCCAGGTTAATATCGCTAGGTTAATATCGCCGTAGGTTAATATGGCCAGGTTAATAACGCCATGGAATATGATACATAAACTTGTTTCCGTCATTCTATTTAATTTTATGTTGTGAATCCTACCGCATTTGCTGAAAATGGTTGTCTTCCGCTGTTGGCTGTACCAAATTGGTCATCTCTTTTATGACTCGCACGAGTATCAAGATGTTGAGCTAGGAAAATTACAAAAATCGTTTGAGTTGAAAAATGAGTAAGTTGAATTTCCAAGGCAAGAGAGCATCATGTCTTTCAAAACACTTTATTCGTTATTGGTACGAAGGTCGCGAGACGGAAAAAAAATATATCAATGATACATTGATGGGAAATAGAACTCCCGAACGGAGGACGTGGTTTACGCGCCTTGATCCACTACCTCCATTGGAATAAAGATCTAGAAGTCGCAGATAAAACGGTCAAACGTGCAGTTACAGGTACGCTAATGGTAGCCTTACAGTGTTAGTCTCCAACTTTTTCTGTCCCCGTCCTCTCTTGGGTTGTTGTTCAATATGTTATTTTTATGGGTGTGTTCAGAAAAAAAAAATTTAAGTGAAACTGACAAGGAAGGATGGAGTAAGATTTTTTTTCCCATGTTTGGAGCTAATGTTTGGAGACTTGATGAAGTCTCGATAGGATTTAGCCGCGGCGATTGCTAAGTTAAAATTTAACAAGTTTCCCGCACACTAAAGGAACCTCCAGAGTTTCTTGCGATTGAACAGGAAATGAAAAATGGTAAATTTAACAAGTTTTCCGTATACTGAAGCAACCACCAAAGTTTCTTGCGATTGAACAGGAAATGAAAAATGGTAAAAACTGTGTCGGGTCATCCCATTAAGAAATGTTTAATTCGTATGGTTACGGCTTAAGGAAAAAAAATTGGCAGTAACTTGTTCGGGTACACCAATCAAAATTACAAAGAATAATAAACTCACAACTTCAATGAACACCACAAAGGCAACGAAAATCCAGATCAGATTGCTAGTCGAGGGTAGCCAGCAACTAAAAGGAGAAAGACAAGAGAGAGACACACATTTTCAGCCTATAGGATACCCATAATAGGATATGAACGAAATCAAGCAAAACAACAACAACAACAACAACAACAAAATACAAACACTCAAAATGAAAAGAATGAACAGAAGATAGAGAGGAAGGGCACGGGAAGAATGAAGTTGTCAACGCATTCCTTACTATTTGTCACTGATATAGCTTTGTATTCCTTCTTTCCCACCAGCAATGCCAAGGGAAATGGCCACCATATTCATAGGGAGACCTATTCATAAATGAACACCAAATATGGCAATCAGAAAGCATCTTACAGCTACCAATACATAAAATAAAAAAGAGTAATAAAAATACCCCATGCGATGACGTGATACATGTGCATCTTGGTGTTGATGTTGTAAACTTTCACAATAAACAGGTAGAGATAAATTCCCTCAACCAGCATCCAGCAAAAGGCGGCCATCAGAAAATACTGTATCAGAGCTGCTACCGCAACACAGGCGGCCTGCAAAAAAGAAAGTTCTCGTATGTTATTCATTATCCTTTCTAAAACACAGAAAAGGCGATTAGTCAAATGAAAGGATGGATAAGCCTCTCACCGTGTTTTCTGTGGCGTTTATTCCGGCGAGAAACGTTCCTTGTCCAGCTCCGAGTGACAAACAAAGGCTTATTCGAATTTGATATAGAGGTTGAGGGATGTCTCTGGTTAAAATAAATAGGATAAAAGCAACAAAAACTTATAAGAAACAAAAACAAAATCAAAAATCAAAGCAAAACAAAATAATGCATATCAATAAGGCCGAAGTCGACCAAATGGCAAATGAAAAAAAATTCTAAAATAAGATAAACAAAATTAATAAGAACCTTGGAATCAAAAGACAAGAAAAAAGGCAAGTTGGTAAAGATTAAGTAAACAACGGATGAACACAAAGCTTGAACTCAAGCGGTGGGTTATTGGAGTTAAATAACCCTAGTGTCAGGGCATCAAAAAGAAAAATTTTGGATAACTTATAGTTGCGACTATTCCTAAATTTATGTTTCAGTAATTGCAATCAACTGTAATCTGATTAGTCAGGACAGTCACCGATGTTGTAAGATCTCTACTTAACAAATGGTAAACACAACAGCGTACACTATTGAGTTATAGATGTACGCGGAAGGTTGCCAAGGACGAAAGTGCGTCCAAAAACTTGCCTTTGCATTTGCCCACGTCAGCAGCGTACACCCATGGGCAAATGGTGGACGCTGAATTGATCAATCAGAGCTCGTGGTTTACGTTGATTATGTTATAAAACAATTTGTACATGATTGAGTGCAAATTGAATTAGTTTTATACCAAGGCACAACTAAGAGGTTTTTAATTAGTTTTTGCAGGGAAAACAGAGCTAGTATGTCCTTTCATCTAACATTATCGAAGACTGACAAAAGTGCACATTATCAAATATTTATGAGAATCCACTGTACTTACTTAAGGGAAGAGTACAAGGCTATTGTTAAAATTATTCCGATAATAGAAAGGCTTAATCCTACACAGGTAATAATCTCCAACACAGTCTCGTCCTGCTCGGAAAGCTGCGTCACATTGTATGAAACGAAAATAGAGAGAAACAAATTAGCTAAATGAATTTATTACCAGTGCTGGAAATAGTTACAAAATGAATTAATTACCTCTGTGCTATCACTGTGGTCAAATAAGACAGCAAAATGAGTGAAATGATTGCAGCTGCAAACTGTTTCTTCAGAGTTGCTTTCCGACGTAACTACATAGCATCCTTTGTCTGAAAATCCGTCGGGGCTGTGAGATAGAAAGTACCTCAGCAGGCAGTATAATTTAGGAAATAGACAGCCGGGGCACCACAAGGGTGAATTAAATCCTCAGCCTTTTGTATTCAAAGCCTCGACCACGTCATTTACTGTTTTTGGTTTGATGGATCACGGCATTTCAGTTAATTTTTAGCTCTGAGGCGCAAAATGTTGGGTTGGGATGAATACTTTGTTTTGTGAAAGATTGTCGATAGACAAAATTGCAACCTCGTATATGATTAACGATGAAATTTTTGCTTAACATGACTTTTCTTAGAGTGAAAAAAAGGAGAGAGCAACGTCAAAGTCACAAAGTCAGACAATGCAGCAACTACAAATAAAACAATTCAAGAAATGAACTTCCTTCATGAGAAGAAACAGAAGGACTTCGAATGACGTTTGACAACTTTATCCGAGACTTGCAGTGTACCATCAAAGTCAGAGTGATTTTGTCAGTTAATTTTTTTTTTGTCTCTTTGGCGACACCTGCTTTAGCAGATTTTCACTAACTGACAAATATAATATCTTTCTTTCAGAAATTTCTGATCCTGGACTAAGTGTTTCACTAAAAACTTATTTACTTAGTATGTCGCCAGTGTTACCTCAGTGTGCCGAAGCCGCTCCAAAACATGCACTTCCTCAGCCCTTTTTCGATCTGTAAATGGAATTAATTACCGCGTTTAGTTTTGTGGAGAGAACGTATTTTAACTAATCTTGCTTTTACCTCCACGTTTCTGAACTTTAAGAATACATTTTCCAACAATTTTTCGGGTGTAGGATCCATGGCTGCCATCGTTATTCTGGTGCCCACATATCTATGTACAAAATGATAATGAAAGTTAACCATAATGTAATGTAAACATGGTGCATTAAGGGATATCTACTAGTAGTGACCTTTGTAAAATATATATGCATTTTAGCTAATATCTTGCGAAGTGGCATTGGTCTTATTCGAAAAGACAATGATGACAGTCAACGCCATCCAGGTAACAAGAGTTCACAAAACGTATTTCGCAGGCCACTGGATAAAGATTTTTCAAGTGAACACCTTTATCTATCATTTGAAGAAACAGGGCCAGGCGGTTTGAACATGAAACTTGTCTATGTGCATGATGTTAGCGACATTATAAAAAAGTAATTTAGGGAAGACAAATTTGTCACCTTGTGTTGCCTGTACTATCCTTGTGGGGTCGATTGTTCGGCAGTATTTCATGGAGATTTTTGTAAAAACACCCAACAACCACTGATCCTTAAAAAAAAAAAAAGAAAGAAGATTCTCTTCCGGTCAAGAAATGACCATGAATTTGAAAGTACTGCGGGTATTTGAAGCAAATAGACGGTGTAAACCAGTGAGCAGTCTTTCCCGAGGAGTTACATCAAAACTGTTAACATTTTCCAAGAGGACAAAAGTTGCATTTCATATTTCAGAATTAAGAACAACTTGATACAAACCATTATCTTCAAAATTTGAAGAGGAAATGTTGATGCTTAATTTCCATTCGTGTTCCTTGAGGTATAAATGACTTGCATTGTGGCGGTAAGCCTTTTGAATTCTCACCACTGTCGGATAAAGAGCAACTCGTATAGTGAATTATGAAATAATACGTTTGCACAAAGAAGCGTTTCTTGGTGGATTTACATAAAGAGAGGTTCTACGGGTGCTATAATGACTAAGACTTCTTACACCATTTGCAATTATCTGTTTTCATATTTGCGAGAATATCTTTTATTTACTTTTCTAATCATGATAAAAAATGCGAACAATCAAATTAACGTTTGAAAATAACGCAGGAGCATAAGTTGTTACCTTATTTAGAAAATAAAAGGTCATTAACGTTAACTCAGACAGTGATTGACTGAAAACAAAGATAATCACAAACTCTCACCCATTTTATGGCTAACGATTTCTTCAGAAAGCGTTAGTCCTTTCAGATGTTGCTTGCTATAATTTAGAGCAAATTCCTCGAAAGCGATGGCCACCTTAAAGAGGGATTCTCTTCCTGTCTGAACCTCCATTCTGGTGAAAAGACCTTCAAGAGGTTTTGTCATGTTTTCAAAACGGACGACGAAGCTTTCAAACACGTTAACAGCCTCCTGTAACCACGTAAACGTATTGATATGATACTTAGTGTATTAACTCGTGACACTTGCTTGGGTCTAAGTACTATGGATGTGTTTTATGATAAATAGATAAACACGTTACCCACTGTCGGGATTGTGTTAGTAGTAGCACAGAGGACGTAAATTGCAATAAAAATAAAAAATGGGTATTGATGTGGTCACTGCATTTTACGTCTTAAGTCGTCACAGCAACATAGAAGCTACTTGTTTTATATGATAAAAAGCAACATATTGTAAATGGGACATCATCTATGCGTCTTTCCTCCTATGGATCATAAGTTAAAACCAATCAAAGTGTGTATATAATTCAGCTTAGCGCATAATTGTATAGACAATACACCAATATGTAAAAGTAGGTCACAGTGGATGCATCATGTACGATGAAACCAAGTTATTAATGCAATCAGATACCTGCAAAGAAGTGTTTCTGCTGCTATCAAGTCCCTCAAGTTTGAAGACATAGTCATTTGCCTAAGATAACGAAAATGACAGTTACTTGTATGGACCACTAAGATCCTGAGGTATGGAGAAGTACAAGGAGAGTAATCAATTAGAAAACACACCAGCTTCTGAATTGCATTGGAAGGCGACGAAGAGGAGGGTGGTGGTATCGATGATGGCGATGGCAATGAAGACCTCGAGAGGGACAGTGCCAGCCACGTCAAAGGCGATGTCAACGGCTGTGACCTTATCTTGGATGGCCTTGCCGTCACAGATGCAGGTGACAGTGAAGGTGACGATCTTACTACTGGTACTGCAACGTTTTCTGAGAAAAGAAAACGAAAGCAAGAGGTTGGCTTGGGAGTGAATTAAGTATTTATTCTTATACGAATATTCTTCTCTTAAGAAACTGTCATTTTCAATCGATATTTCAGTATTTAAATTTCTCTATTTTGACATGTTTGAATATTTTGGCATCAATTTTATTAATAATCTTCTACCTCGCATATGGAGGGAAAATACTTGTTGATTGCTATCTTGATTCAATGGATGAATGATTGAGTGACTAAACAAATATTAATTCCAATTGACTTAGTATTTCTGATGCCAGACACACCTACATGAAAGTGATCATTCGAACACTGAGAAAAAAAATTCTCAAAAGGCACTTTGACATTATGTATTTCCCCTTGCCTTGCACGAGATTTCCTTAAGAACATAGTACGATTTACCAATGGTTAGTCCGTTAAGTTCAAAAGTTAGTGCGAAAACAGTTTGAACCGTGTCACCAGTAGACAAATTGCAATCCATGGCTCTTCACATAAATAGTTGACGTTAGCTGAGTGTGTTGCAACTTGCAACAATTGGCTCTGTTCTAATACTCACCGATGCTTTTTTCCTTGCAAGTTTGTGTGCAATTTATCCCACTACATGTTAGACTACACTGATCACCCTCATAATGGCAAGTATGGTTTGTGCCAAATGTTTGTTGGGCGCTTGTCAGATTGCATTTTGTTGCATTACAGCTCGACCAACCATGATGACGTTCGTCGTATATCGTGTCAGCGCAATGATCTACCATTGGTCTGTAAGCCTTACTCCAGCTTTTTGCGCAGAATCTGACGGGGTAGCAGTTTGAGGAACAGTTGTTGACGGAGCAGTTAAGATTACAAGTGTGATGGGTAAATTCGCAAATCTGAAACCAGCCATTCTTGCTATACTCTAGAATGCAAGGAATTCCAATGTGGCCTCGGCAATAGCTGGCAGAGGGCTCTTGATCGTAGACTGAAAACGTGACACAAATGTTACAAATGATATACAAAGGAAGTACTTGATTCTAGGAGGAAAACTAGTCGGCCTGTCTAGCAATAGTGAGACCGTATCATTTTTAGCCACCCAACGCCTCTGCCGTGCATGTAAACGAGTTATTTGTTTAAAAAAAGGAGGAAGGATTCTTAACTTCCTTTAGTGATATTTCGGAATACAACAGTTCTTTGGTATTGCGAAATATAACACTCTATAGGAGCAGGATCTCTAATAGCCTCTCTCACATGCTCAACATGCTCATCATGCTCAGTAGACTGACGGTCTGCCATGATCGCAATCACTGCACAGTTCTATAAACATTTGGCATCGCATTGAATATTTCAATTTTTAGCAGTCAGTTAACGTGATCAGATAGAGAAGAATTTGGGGAAGGTTTCCAGTATCGGTATTCGATTTTTTTTTTCGAGAAAGAAAAATGTCTATTAGTTTTCCGAGGTTAATTGCTTGTTATTGTTGTTGCTTTTATTTTTAAGACAACGCCTGTAACAATATATACGGGACCCGAAACTATCGTATCCTCATGCTCAAAGTTAAGAGTCTTTGCAGTCAGCTTTGAGAGTTAACTTGGGGCATGAAAATAGTTATTACTTGAAATTTCTATTCTTGGTTTTCACCCACGTGACCTTTACCTTAGCAACGGTTGCTACGCTGCCATATTGGTGTCGTATAACTGAAACATTTCGCGTAATTCATCAAAGCTTTAGAAGTGTTTTTCATCGTAAGCATGGTTCATTG